ATTAAATAAAAGAGATATACCATACGATTAATAATATGCCAAATGGATTTCTCTATAAATCATTTGTTCTTGCCTTCCAGTAATTGCTACTGTGGGGTTCTCTATTTCCTATGGGATGATGACTACACAGCCTGGCATAGAAGATGCTCCCAACATGGCCCTGCCTCCATTTCCACCATTCTTGCAATAATATCAGACCCAACTACTGCCAGCTGTTGGAATGCACCATGCTATTTCCTACCTCCCTACCTCTGTACCTATGGTTACCTCTACCTGGGAAGCCCTCTCCCTCCTGGGAAATCCCTTCTTATTCTTCAAGGGCTAACTTGCATGTCACCTCGGTGAAGCCTTTGCAAATCCCCTAATGCAGTAGTTCTCAAGCTTTGTGAGCACCAGAATGCCCTGGAGGGCCTCTTAAAACACAGACTGCTGGTCCCCACCCTTGCAGTCTCTGATTCACAAGGTCTGGTGGAGCCGAGAATCTGCATTTCCAACAAGTTCCCAGGTGATGCTGATGCCACACTTAGAGCACCACTGCCCTACAGAGTGAAGGCGTGCAGTGCCCTTGAGTCCTATGCTCCTTCACCAGTCTGTGCAGAGCCTGTTGCACACTCCCGCTCAAAAAGGTGAGCTCCTTAAGGACGGGGACCAAGACAGCATTCAGTACATGGTTACTAAACCGATGGATGGATGGATGGATGGACAGACAGATGGACAGATGAATGGATTAGACTGAATTTATTTACATAGCTTTTCCATCCAAGTCCAGGACCTCCCAGATGCCCACACCCACCCAACCCCCCAAAATGTACCTTGAAAACATCATCTATAATAGAGTCCCACTGTGTAGAGAAGGTAAAAAGAAATTCAAGAAGAGTTTTGACATTGTGAGCCTGTGTCAAAGGAGTTTTGAATTCTAATCTCGTGCTCTTTCTGCTAGCCTGGCCCCACTAGGGCTGTTTACCAAGGCGGCATTTAAGGAGTCACAACAGAATGCCTCCAAGTGGCACCTCTTGGAGTCATAACCTCCCACCCTCCTTTCACACACACACACGGTGATTTCATTTGCAGGAGACAGATGAAGGTGGTAAGAGAAGTGGAGGAAGGAAGAAGAATCCAGCCTCACCCAGGGAGGGGAAGGGCAGCAGCTCCGGTGGGGAAGACCCCCAACTCCCAAGGGGGAGTGTCTGAGCTCCAAGCTGCCCTGGGCTGCCCGTAGTTGAGGCAACGAGGCAAGGGAACAAAGGAAGGAGACAAGCCTAGAGAAGAGACAAGAAGCATATCCTCAGGAGAACATGAGAGACAGAAGAGGAACAAAGGCCAGAGAACAGCAGCCAGGAGGGGCAGGAGGACAGGAGGAATGGCAGTCAATTGCTGAGCTGGCAGCACAGGGCAGCTGGAGGCTGGGGGGAGGTCAATGCCGGCTCCCGCACTCCGCTCTGCCCTTTCAGCAGCAGCAGGCGCAGGGATGAGCAATGGGCTTCGCTGGAGACACAGCTGGGGGGATGCAGCAAGGGACAGCAGGAGGACCAAAGTCAAAAGGTCTCTACTGCTCCAGGTGGTGCAAACGCAGATGCCTGTGGCTCTGAAAACTCCTGAGTCTGCAGGGCTGGTTTCCCAATAGGCCTGTGCTCACAAGCAGTGTGGGTCACCCTGCAGCTCTGCTGAAGAGGGAAAGTCAGCATTCCCACTCCATGGGCATCCAGACCTTTCCCTGGGGGAACTGCAGATTAGCCTCTTGGATTAAGCTCTCCTGCCTCCCTCCCCAACTCCAGAAGCCCTGCCAAGGGAGGATCACGAAGCTGAGACCTTAGGATGCCGCAGAGCTGTCACATTCAATTCACCACACAGCCCTAGTGGCATTTAGGGGCAGGATGGATGGGAGCCCACCCCCAAACAGTGGGAGCAGCTAATGACTGGGTATTAATGATGATGGCAATTAGCGCTCACAAGAAAATGGTTGGGGGCTTCTCACCAGGGGAGTGTGGGAGGGAACAGAGCGCACATTCGGAGCAGCAAACAGATTGGTGGTGTGTGTGGTGCAGAGAACCTGGGAAGAGCCACTGTCTCTTGGATTTGTCCAGAGAAATTGGGGAATAGAGAAAGGATGGCTTCTGTGGACACTGAGGGCCTGTCTGCAGCACCCTCCCCACTAGCAAAATTGGGGTTAATCACAGAGTTCTTGGAGGCATTGTGAGGAGATGTCATTTGTGAGGGTTCTGGAACCTTCCTTGTGTGAGGAGGCTCCAGATGAGCCCAGGTACAGCTATTCTTATCTATGTGGTTTAAAACCCTTGGGTAGTCAGAGGATTCTTTTTGGTTTTTGTTTGTATGTTTTACTGAGAAAGATCCGCTGCCAATCTTCCTCTTTTTGCATGTGAGCTGCCACCACAGCATGGCCACTGACAGATGAGTGGTGCAGCTCTGTGCCCAGGAACCGAATCCAGGCCACTGAAGCAGGGCGTGCCAAACTTAACCCCTAGGCCACTGGGGCTGGCCCCAGAGGATCCTTTCTGAAGAACCCAATTTCTCATCAGTAGAGTGAGAAGGAGAAGAGGGTAGAAAGGGGGTTGGAGCGAATGTGCTCCCTGACAAACCCACAGACAGAAGAGAACCAGCATCAGGATGAGATTTCTTAGGGATATGTCGCCTTCTAGGAAGAGGCAAAACACAGCTCCCCTGCTAAGCAAGGCCATCTGGCCTCAAGGTGAGGACATAAGGAGACAGAAGACACCGGCCCATGAGAGTGCATGAGGAGATCTGGTGGACAGAGAATAATATGCCAGTGCCCATCTCGGAAATCAACAGCCAGCTGTGAGGGGACCTCAGGAATAGCTAAGGAGGAGACTGCCTCTATCCACTTATGTTCTGCAGTATCCCTGGGGGGCCACATGGAACCTTCCTCTGCTGTTGCCATCACTGTACACAGACACGAAAGAGACTCAGACAAAAGAGAAGCATTCCAAACCCTATAGCGTGAGTAGAGCCCCTACATACACAGGAACAGAATGGCCTGACATTTGAAAAGAGATGTAAAGGAGATAAGCTGCACTGGGGGGAGTAAGAAATAATACCAAGCTAATAAATACTTTAGAGAGAGCAACCACCACTAATAAATACTTTCCACAGAGCAACCCAAATCAAAAGAGGTCATTCTCAGCCTCCTCGAGGCAGGAGACAATAGCTATGCCTTGGCCACTCAGATCAGAAAAGGGATAAGAAGAGAGAAAGGGAAATGCAAATAACAGCTGCCTTGGTACAGGTCAATGAATTTTCCTTCCTGAAAGACAAGGGTGACCGGACAAAGGAAACCTCTTCCCAGAGAGAAGACAGAGACCTCAGCATCGTAGCTACTAGGAGCTGGTGAGGGGAGGTGAGCAAAGCTCTGTCAGACTCCCTGCCCTGCTTTTCAGGTTCTGTCCGGATGTCAACAGTAGGTAAGAAAATAAGATTCTGTCACACAAAAGGCTTGAACCCTGAAAGTGAGGAAGAATTAAAGAAGGTGCTATGGGCTGAACTGTGTCCCATCAAAATTCATATGGTGAAGCCCTAACCCCCAGTACCTCAGAAGGTGTCTATATTCGGAGATGGCCCCTTTAAAGAGGTGATTAAAGAGGAAAAGTTAAATGAGACCCTTAGGAGGACCCTAATCCAATCTGACTGGTGTCCCTATAAGAACAGGAAATTTGGACATATAAAGAGACAGCAGGGGTGCACATGCACAGAGGGACGACCATGTAAAGGGGCAGCAAGAGGGTGGCCGTCCACAAGCCAAGGAGAGAGGCCTCAGAGGAATCCTACCCTCCCGGCACATTATCTGGGACTTCCAGCCTCCAGAACTGTGATAAAATAAATTTCTGTTCTTTAAGCCACCCAGTCTTTGGTATTTTGTCATGGCAGCCTGAGCAGACTAAGACAGAAGGCAATGTGACAGAGGGAAAGTGGGGTAGGGGTTGGGGAAACACATACTAATCTAATGAAAGGTCTTGGCTACAGTGTGTTCATTATTTCAACTATTTGGTGGAGGTGGCGAATCGACATCAGTTGACTGACTGATTGACTGAAATGCACAGGGGTCACCCCCAATCCTAGAATCTGAATATTTTTAAAGGTCTGACCCCTTTAATTACATTGAATTGTTGAGTTTAGGAACACCTACCACCAAATCTTGTGAACAAAATAAAAAACATGTGGCATGTCCACAATTATTCTTCACCTAACCATCTTCGAATGCCCCACATCTTGAAGCAAGTCCATAAGATTCCATTACCCCATCCCATTCTGAGTTTACTATAGGCCCAGAAACCATAAGGAATGTTATAGAAGGAAGTCAACTGGTGAATGCTAAGCCCTTTTTGACTCCCTAATTCATGACTGGAAGTTCAGGAAGGAAAGCAAGAATAGAAATGGAAACACAAATCTTCAGGATTATTTTGGGTCTTAGAGCCCAATATCCCAAATGACAAGTGCACCCAGATCATGTTTGTTGACTGAGTGCTCAAGTGAAGAGCATGGAGGCTCCAGGCAGTACTTCTAAGGAGAGCCCTGTACCAAAATTATGACCCCTGTAACAGCCAAGACAATAGATCAAGAATATTCTACGTCTCTTGGTGGCCAAGGACTGTCTGTCTGAACTGACACACCCAAGGGCTATGCCCAACTCAAGTTAACAGATGTGAATGGATCTTCTGGAGCTGAAGGAAAAGAGGAGCAGGTCTGGCATTTGAAAATGGCCAGGTAAGAATGTTTCCCTTCTACCTTAACACCTTCCTTCCTCTGGGAGCAGAGATGGGTATGCCACCCCTGCCCAGGTCACTCTAAGTCTGGGGCTTGGCTGACCCACAGGGGCAGCTGGGGCTGGGTTGAAAGAGCCAACTTACCATAGGACATTGAGACCAATCAATGATTGCCACCAGAAGACGCCAGAGATGAAAAAAGGAATGCTCCACAGCCCTGCCCACCCACTTCATCACTGCCCAACCCAACACCTGGGAACTCACGTCTGTGGTTCTCGTTTCTGTGGTTGGGTGGGGACCGGGTCTCCTGGTCTTGGGCTTCATCCCCCTCCTCACTGGCCAGGTGAGTGTGAGCGTAGTGGTAGCTGAGTCCCGGCCGGTTCTTGTAGCGCTTGCCGCAGACTAGAGAGGAAAAGAGGAAAGGAAGGGAAAACACAAACGTCAGCAACCTCTGCAGCCACTGCCATCATTCTCCCAGGAGTGACTCCCATCCATCCACCCCAGAGCAGGTTTCCCTTTAAAATGTCTCCTACCCCCAACACCCATTACCCCCCTGGACAGAACTAACACTGCTATAACAGTGGGCCACATAAAGAAAACCAGAAGAGTGGAGGATGGAAGCTGAGCTGTGTAAGAGCTCCATCATTTCCTAGCTGTGAGACCCTGGGCAAGTCACTTTTCCTCTCTGTGCCTCAGTTTCTTCAGAAGGAAAGTGGGAATAATAATAATATAGTACTTACTTCATAGAGTTGTTATGATGAGTTCATCTGTATGCAAAGCACTAGACCAGTGCCAGGCACATGGTAAGGGTGATGATTATTATACCTTCGAAGTCAAAGAGCACTGGGAATCTATCCAGTCAACACCCATGGAACAGATGAGGCAAGTGAGGCCCAGCAAGGATAAGTGATTTGCCTGGGAACACACAGCTAGTTGTGGCAGAGCTATTAGAACCCAGGTCTCCTGGTTTCCTATGCAGTGCTTCTCCCACCACTCTGTGGTTGACTCTGTGTGAAGTATAAAAGCTTGATATGGAAAATATTTTATGTATCACCCAGTGATTTTGTGCCAGAAAACATATTCCATTTCCACCATGGAAACCATGAAGCAGAGGCATCCTCGATAGATGTGGCAACCAAGAGCTGTGCCCTTGATGCCCCGGACAGCCTCTGAAACCCAAAATCTCTAAAAATGTGTCCTTGTAAGCACTACCTCTCAAATGGACAGCGTGAGACAAGAGCAATAAGCAACATTAAATACGGCTTCCTGGAGCCAAGAAGAAGAAAAGGCGCAATTCCATTGGTTAGCTGCTCAGTACCTGAGAAACAGAAATCTAGCCAAATGGCTTAAGTCCAGACCACCACTCCCACTCTCCCCCCACACAAAGCCCAATATCTCAGCCCCTTGAGGGATGGCACTGCTGGTAGCAGAAGCCTTGACCGTCTTCCAGTAAAAAAATCCTACGCCAACCCTCTCATCTTGTGCCCACTTCTCCCCAGCAGGTAAACCCCACCAGATCTGCCAGAGAACCTGAGGTTAGAAGCTTTAAGAGACTCTCCCTTCACATGACTGGGTTATACCAGTAAGCATAAATGTTTCACAAGGTAGAGAGAACACAGACTTCATCATCAGACCTGGTTCAAATCCCAGTTCCGGGTGCCAAAGTTGACCAGCTGTATGACCTCAACAGTATGGAGGAAAGCTGTTTTCCAGCCGTCTTACCCAATTCCCTTATTATTTCTGGTAGGGTTTCTTTTCTTACTAGATTCCCTTAGGTTTTTTAGGTATTACAACAATCTCTTGGCAAAAATAGGCTATGTCAACTCCTCTTTCCCATATTTATACAAACTATTTTATCAATTCGTTTGTAAAAATCACCAAGATAATATTTTAAAATAGGAAAAGCAAGCTTTTCCTATTTTAATGAAGTTGGATTTAGTGTTTCATTGTTTAGAATCATATCTGTGGCTTATTTTTAAGTCTTTATCAAATTTATGTAGTTCCTCTTATTCCTGTTTTAGAGTTTTATTATAGGAGAATTTTATCGGCCGCCCTTTCAGCATCTACTAATATATGACTCTTCTTTAGTTTATAGATACAGAGAATTATGTTGATTTCCTAATTTTTTCTATCATTGAACCATTCTTGCATTCCTAGAATGCACTCCGTTTGGTCAGACAGTATTATCCATTCGGTACACTGCTGCATTCTATTTGCTAATGTTGCATTTTGCATCTATATTTAGGCTTGAGAAAGATCTATAATTTTTGGCCTTTTAGCACACTTCGACTTTATTGCTATGTTGACTTCCAAAAATGAATTGAGAAGTTTTGCTGTGTGAAATTGGACAAGACACATAATCTCTCTGTGCCTTTTTTCTTATCTGAAAATTATGCTAGTACTACTTACCTTGAAGGATGGTTAAAGGGATTATAAATAATATTTGCAAAGTATCTCACTCAGTATCCAGCACTTAACAGATGCTCAGTAACTGGTAGTGAGGGCTGAGAGGCGTCAGCTTGGTCTGCCACATCTTAAGTGCTGGACCCTTGGACCCTGACCTCATGCTACAGAATGTGGCAATTGGTTGGACTGTCTTAATAAGGTGAAAATCTGACATTCAAGTTGGTGTCCTAGTGACTATAAATTCAATCCTACAATTAGCTACTTAGATTCTCTTTCCCTTGCTTCTCTCTCTCCTCATCCCTCTCACTCCCTCCCTCTCTATGTCGTAAATATTGCAAAAAAATAAAATGGCACTACACTTCTCAGTTCCATTTGACTTAGGAAGTGGGCTCTAAGAGGCCCCTGAGGCACATTCTGGACCTTCTTGTGGCTTTTTCTATTTAACCTTTTAAATGATCTGAAGTCAATAAACAGCAAATTATAGGGTCATTGGAGGTAAATCCATTTAGTCACCAAGCTTACTATTGGTGAGGAATACATGTTTATTAAAAATGGGAATGATAATATCAGTGTTTACATGAGGAGGCCTCAGCTGCCTCTGCAGATCTCCCACTGCAAACTCCACAGCATTTCGTCTTTGCCATTTTATTACGTCAATTATCACTGTATTCCTTAAATACAGAATTTCAGCATCTTAATAGTCATTCGGTCTATCTATCAGAATGTTTTATTCCCACTAATACTCTAGATGCCTGTCCTGGGCAACTCCACTGATTGGGAACTCATCAGAGTAGGCACTTCTTTGGAGCCTTGAATTACAGTTATGTCCACATTGGAGGACCTCTCTTTAGAACAGTTTCATATTAATTTCATCTTGATATCAACAACTCCACTTTGTATGTTTCCATGCACATACTACACCTTTAAAACGTATTTACTGACTAGCTGATGAATGAACACAGAAACACTTTGTGGAAAAGCCAGGAGATGGGGGAGGAGGTAAGCATGTAGAATCTGATCCATCTATCCACGTTAATCTCACACTAATAGTTCTTAAAACCTACAAAACCAAACCCAAGCAAAAGGCTTCCTGTATCTCCTTCCCCAACACCACAGAGAGTAATTATTTTTAGAGCAAATCCTTTTGCTAGAAGAAAGATTCTCCGAGAGGAGTCCCCAGACCAGCACCATCAGCATCCCCTGGGAACTTGTTAGAGACACAAATTCTTGGGCTCCACCCCAGACCTACTGAATCAGGAACTCTGGGGGTGGGCCCAGCAATCTGTGTTTTAACCAGCCCTCAGGTGATGCTGATGCCCACTACAGTTTGAGAACCACTATGCTAGAAGATTGAATATATTTAGGCTTGACCCGGCCCACCCTGCGTGCACCTGCCCTTTTGCATGGATGGACACGCAGGTGGGGGCAGGGGGAGGCAGCCCTGAGACCTGTATTTGGTTATTGAATAACATGGAAGTCTGGAAGCCAGCCCCCTTTGCCATGGTCCCTATATGCAGAGCTCTCCAATGGAGCTTCATTTTTTACCGCCTGCTTAGACCAGGTCATCCCTTCATCACCAGGTCTTCAAGAAAACACTTATTAAACACCTCATATATGCCCAGCCCTTGGCACCAGAGGACAAATATAAATGAGCCCCACTCCCCTCCCTCAAGTGGTTCGCAGTCTGGTGGAGGAGACACGTCAACAAGCAAGGAGGGAGATGGGATAAATGCACCAATGTGAGCACATGCCCAGTGAAGAGGAGGGGCCAGCACACAGGCTTGACTGTGGGGGACGGCCTCCGGGAGGAGGTGGCTTGTGAGATGAGCAGGCTGCCACCAGGCAGAATGCACCAGGAGGCAGGGGCATTCAGGCGCCAAAGCACTCTCTAGATGGCACCTTCAGGGCACCGTAAGGGATTGTATCCTGATGACCAACTTGATCAGATTTACATTTTAGAAATACTCCTTAAGACTATAGTGCAGAAGATGGATTCGAAGGTGGCAAGAGACCATTTTAATTTTCTATGTGTGAACCAAAGAGGACTTCAGAATGGGAGAGGAAGAATGGTGTGGGAGAGGGGTTAAAGAGAAAGAATCTAGTGGAAAGGAGTGGGTGTAAGCAGCAAGGAGGAGCCTAGAAAGACTAACACGAACACGGCCTTCCTGGCCGTGCACCATCCAGTCCCTTCCACCGCCCCATCCTCCCTTGATACCACATTTCGCCCCCTTCTCAGCCCTCCTGTCCACTGGCCTTTTCATCTTGTAAACAATATATATTTTTTTTTTTTTTTTTTTGCTGAGGAAGATTCACCCTGAGCTAACATCTATTGCCAATCTTCCTCTTTTTGTATGTGAGCTGCTGCGACGGCATGGCCACCGACAGACAAATGGTGTAGGTCTGCACCCAGGAACCGAACCCAGGCCACCAAAGCAGAGCATGCCGAACTTAACCACTAGGCCACCAGGGCTGGCCCTCATAAACATTTTTCTTTCCACCACAGAGCCTTTGCACAAGCTCTTTCCTCTGCCTAGAATGTCCCCCAGCTCCAATTTGCCTGATGAATGCTTCATAATCCTTCAGATCTCAGTTCAAATGTCCTTCCCCAAGGGAATTCTTTCCAATCAAAATTAGAACCCTGGTTTTTCCCTTCCTAGGATTGATCATGTATGAACAAGTGCCTCTCCCACCAGCAGCAAGCATGGCAGGCCCCGTGCATTTGCACACTGCTACGTCCCCAGTGACAAGCACTGGGCCTGACTCATGGCCGGCACTCAACGTCAGCTAAGGGAAGCAATGAAATGATCCAGGTTTCTGACTTGGGCAACCGGGTAGAAGCATGTAGCAGGAAAACCAGATTTAAAGAAGGAAGAGAAGGAATTCAGTCCGGGGTTGGCTCACACACCTGAAGCCTGGGGAAGATGAAGATTCTGGAGTTGGCAGAGTGGCGATGGAAGCGATGGACACGCAGGGAAGCACCAGGAGAGATAGTGGAG